GTAAGTTAATATCTCGGGAACCTCGGAGTCTAGGAGGCTGAAATTTAAGAATAATGACCCCCTGCCAACGCTCAACCTTACTCATTCAAATTCAGCGTTCTCGCGCTCTCGGGTACCACCTACGGCCTCGTAAAAATTTTGTCGGGCAAACTATTAACTCGGGAATCGCGGAAAGATATTCATCCTTCAAGGTTTCGAATTCAGCTTTCATACGCCAGTGCGTGAAATTTTTAACTGTTTTCCAATGTTTGAACTATTTTTGCATAGACTAAAGAACAAAGCACTGGTGTGTGAAATTTTTAACTATTTTCCAATGTTTGAACTATTTTTGCATAGACTAAAGTACAAAGCATGAAAATCATTAATAGGCAATCGTTCGATGGGCCGAATTGCACAAAACGCATTATCGCACCGGCTAGTCTGTTGAAATTTTTAACTGTTTTCCAATGTTTGAACTATTTTTGCATAGACTAAAGCACAAAGCAGTGAACTGGTGCATGAAATTTTTAACTATTTTTCAATGTTTGAACTATTTTTGCATAGACTAAAGTACAAAGCAGTGAAAAGTTTTTAACTGTTTTTCAATGTTTGAACTATTTTTGCATAGACTAAAGTACAAGGAAGTGAAATCTTTAACTGTTTTTCAATGTTTGAACTATTTTTGCATAGACTAAAGTACAAAGCAGTGAAAATCATTTTCTTAACTGTTTTTCAATGTTTGAACTATTTTTGCATAGACTAAAGTACAAGGAAGTAAAAATCATTACGTCTGGTTTTCAATGTTTGAACTATTTTTGCATAGACTAAAGTACAAAGCAGTGAAAATCATTAACAGGCAAATATCGTTATGGGCTGAATTGCACAAAACGCATGATCGCACCGGCTAGTCTGGTGCGCGTTGCCATTTATTTTTCTGTTGTGACCAGATTTTTTGAGATTTTACCAAAGTATTTTAGAATTAAACTGTCCAATGATACGGTAATGGAGGATATTGAAGACGTTATCCAGACGCTTCCAATTGCTCGGACCTCCAGTCACGTGCACATAAAAGTTAGAAAACGTCTGAAAAATAGTGATGAAGTTTTCAGCGGCGACAGTTTTATACCAGGTATGCATTCCCCCTAAAAGAAATTCTGGAATTTCAGAAATTTAAGTGTCTAAAAATGAATTTTTCTTTGATGGCTTTGCCGGGTGAAACATGAATTGACAATTCCATCCCGATATGAAGCGAACTTCGGGATCTCCAAAAGGCTGACCACCGGGCAATGCAGCGTTGGTCAAGTCATCCAAAAAAGTTTCCAGCTGAATGGTTGATGGTATATAATATGAATTACAGCTGATACAAGTACACGTTTGAACGTTTTAATGGACCGAAACACTTCTTACCATTATATTAATTTCATAAATTTTCTAATTTTCATTTCTTACATTCCCCTTTCTTTCCCCATTCTTTCCTGTTATTACTCTTTATTAACATTCTTTGAGGACACTTAAAACGCCTGGAATACCCTTGACAGCTGTTGATTCATAGTTTTGAATCGCCATCTATGCAACTGTCAGTTTTGCCGTCAATTACGATCTTGTGCTTTCTTAGACCATGATATTTTGTAAATTCGAATTAATATTTTCATATTTTTTTTTAAACTCTTAATTTTAATTATTTTGCATTTCCATATTTTATAGTACATTCTTTGTGTTTGAATAACTGTAGCTATTACCATTATTATTGTTAATACGGATGTTATTATTGTCATTATCATTATTACTCAGTATTCCGCGTTGGTATTAATGTTACTGTATCACTTGTGTGTATTATTATTTTTACGATTTTGTTTGTTATTATTACTTTATCGTTATTTTTATTAATGTCTTGGCTTTCTTACCTGTTACTGTATTTTAAATTACTTATTGTATAAATTTGTGATTACGTTTTTGAGGTTTTTTTCAGGGAAACATAAAATCTACATCAGGACATGGGGTTGCACACATAACACTAGCGATTCGGAACAAATGGCTGGCCTACTGGATGCTGCTGGCCATCAGCTAACCAACGAGAAGGTCGGAGTGTTTTTATTTTATAGTATGACCAATTGCTTGAGCAAAGATTGCACTTAAAAATCAACTTTGTTAAAATTTTTGTCACCAAACTTGGCCAAAGTGACACAGGGGAATCAGTTTTTCAAATTCGCAAAATATATCATTTGGTTATTTTTCCCCGTTTTTCAGGAAGAGGCCGATTTATGGATTTTGAACAGCTGTACAGTAAAGACACCATCTGAAACTCAACTGGAGAATATGGTAAAGGAGGCACAGAAGCTGAATAAGTTTATTGTTGTAGCCGGCTGTGTGTCTCAGGTGAGTTCTTTTTGGTTGCTAGTAAAACAGGTTGTACTTGGGTTAACTAGCAACGATAAGCCGATTGTAGCATCTAGGAAGCAGGAACAATAGAAGGCCAGAGTGAGATAAGATATTTCGGTCCAAATTAAGTCATATACGTCTTAACTCAACACTGATAAATTAGCGAATAAATGATTATTGTATTAAACCAAATTATTTTTGTAAAAATTCACGACTAAATCAAACGAAATAAGCTGCTACAGTAGAAGCTGTAACTATTAAGAGTTGAAACTAATGTACATGTTCTAAGTTGAAATAAATGTAAAAAGTACCATATGTTAGTAGTGGAGCACAAGAGCCGGTAGTGTAATGGTTAACAAATTACGATTCAATTGATCCAAAGATTATGAGTGTGAGGAGTTCAGTTTCTTCCCGGCCTATATTCATTTTTGCAAAAATTAATTCTGTTCATGAAATTGTGCATTAAAAATTAAAAGCGGTGTAAATTCTGCTTGAATTTAAGGTTTTTTCCGACATTTGTAATTTTTTTAGCATTTCTTAGTTATTTTGTAGCCTTACAGTCCTTATACTATTTCTTCTTTCAGGCGGAACCAAATTTACCGTTTTTGGAAGGTATCTCAATTGTCGGCGTCAAGCAGCTTGAGTGCATTGTTCAGGCAGTGGAAGAAACATTGCAAGGAAATTGTGTTCGATTTTTATCTCGACGAAAGCCCAATTCTAGCTTAATGCTACCAAAAGTCCGAAAAAACAAATACATTGAGGTAAACACATATGATACTTATTTTCTAAAATATTCTTTCTTACGCTTACTCACAGTACAGCTAGCGGACATAGTTTCATAGTCCCGTCTGTGTTTACAGCTAAGGGATGAAACACACAGAGAGACTGCATCGTAAAATATCATCTTATTACATCTAAGGGATGAAAGACAGTTTGCACCGTAAAATATCACCTTACACATAACGCCTGGTATAATCCTTCTGGTCTTTTATTTCGTAGTAAACACCGATGCTGTGATGCTGATTGTCAAGAATTCGGCTCGGCCTTGGGGGCAGATAATCCCTCTACGATTCGTTCTGATGTTAAATTTTATTGCTAATTTGGTAAAAATTAAACCTGCCATCAGCTTGCTTCTAAGCAATCCTCGACAAAGAGATATGGGTATTTTTGCCAGCGGGTGGCTGCTGTTGGCACAGTTGTTTGGGCTAATTCCGCTTTATAGTGCAGTGTAGTGAGCTTAATTGGGATGTACTTGAACTGTGTGGTCAAATTCAGTTTATTTACATGTGCGCTGATTTTGCCAAATTTGATATTTTTCTATTGAAAGGCTACAAAAGGATAAGGAAGTGCAAAAATTTTTCAGATTTTAGCGATCAGTGACGGTTGTTTGAACCATTGCACATACTGTAAAACGAAATCCGCTCGAGGCGATCTGGTCAGCTACCGCCTGGACGATCTTCTGGAACGGATACAAAATGCGTTTGCCGAGGGCTGCAAGGAAGTGTGGTTGACATCCGAAGAT